CCGGGCCCGATCTTTCCGCTACCTTCCGGTACAAAGCGGATGCCGGGGGTGCGAAATGAATAAACGTTTCGTCGGGCGGAGTGCCACTAAAAATGTGTAATTTCCCACCGCTTCCGAAATGCCGGGTTGACGCTCCTCCGACGGTGACAACGAATAACGGGAAGACCCGCGAAGTGGATGAGTCGAATAATTTCTTCCCGTGCCTTTCGTCCGTTTTGGGTTACTTTCTTCTATTCGTCCCCCTACAATATTAGACCGAAATGCTGGTTTCTATTTGAAATTTGACACCCGGCCCGCGGGTGGAGTAACCTATTTACATCGCGCTCGGTTCCGTCCGAAGATTTCGTTGCGAGTACGGGAATGGAGAAAGAAGGATAATTTTTACCAAGGAACCTATTCGTAAGGAATTCGTCGCCGTCTCGTCCGACCGTTTTCTTCCACTCCGCCCCATTTTATTTTATAAAGTACTGTACGGTTTAAAATTTCACTTTTCTCTGGGTCTAGCCAGTTCTCGTTTCCTCGGAAACAATTACTCGTCTGGCTTTTTCCCGTCTCTCTCCGGGTTTATTAATCATTTCTTCTCGCATTCTTTTTTTCTTCGTCCGGCGCGCTCCTAACTTCTCTTCCTTCCTCCCGCCTACCCGTATCGATTCTTTTCCGGCGTCTGTCCTCCGAAACTTTTGGGAAATTAAACGCCCATCGTTACTTTTGGCATTTAAAAGGACCTCGGGAATATCCCGGAAAATTGACGGAATAATTACGCCCGGTCACGGATTCGCCAGTAATTTCCACCCCGAACTCTCATAATACGAATTACGAATAAATAAAATTTAAAAATCAAACATTTTTTAAAGAAAATGTCTTCCCTCGTTAAGAACTCGCTGTTTTAACAGGCCGGGAAGCCCGTATTTCCGGTGTCGTTAGAAAGCGAAAAGGGCCGGGAGATTAATTAATCGACTCTGGGAACCGTCGTTAGTTTCGAAAATGTTAACGCGATTAAAACGAAAACAGAAGTCACTTTAATTTTTTCGTCGTTCTTTGCCTTCGGGTTTTAAGTAGACGTGAAAAAAGGAGAAGCGCGGCTTCGATTTTTCCATTCGATCACCCTTCAACATAAGAATATTAGAAAATATTCTAGTACCGGGAGGGTTTCCCCCTGCCAGTTTCCGGCCAAGGTGGGTTCTCTGACCGGACGATCGCTTCCGGTTCTCCTTCCCGGCACTACCCCGCTCCGGTGAAGAAAGCTTCCCTTTTTCCCGCTCTCCGTCTTCCTATTTTTCCTCCCATCCCTTATGAGAGAGGCGCCGGGTCCGAAGCGGGAGACGTCCGCTTCCGCCGTAGATTCTTTTTCCCAAAATCGGCCGGAAATAGCGGGTGGACCGGGCGCCACCCCGTCGGAAGCCTTTCCCACCCGTAGCGGGGCCGCCTTTGTGGTGGAGGGGCGTAATTTCCCGACGATTAATTAGGAAGAGAAACGGGGCGACGGGATTTGCGGAGGAAGGACGTAATCGACCGCCGACGTAATATCCGAAAGGGGACATAAAGGAGGAGGCGCGGGTCGAACAATCGCCCGCGTCCAGATTACCCGCCGTAATCCGTCCAAATGCCTTTGTGACGAAAGATTAGTTTCTCGGGGGGAGGGGACCGGACCGGGAGATTTGCCGCCGGGCGCCTACTTATTTATTTGTTTAATAAATAGGTCGGGATCTAGATTGGTGACTTCTTAAGAGGCTTTGCTTATCTCCGTCCTTCATTTACCCGTCGATTAGGAGCCGGCCCGCCGCCGGTATTAGCGCTTCTCTATTCTTTCCTTACTCTTCTGTTCGGTTACCTTAAAGCCCCTTTATTATCGGACGCGGCCTTTAATAAACCAATTCTTTTTTCTATACCTACCTTCAGTTTACTCCCAGTCCCGCGTCACCGCCTTCCGTATTATTCGAAAAGCTTTGTTAAATAATAGGATTACCGACGGGGAAAATGCGAATCCGAACGGGCGTGGCCCGTAAGTTTCGGAGGCGTCCGACATCTACCCTCGTCCGCCGTTAACGTTTCCGGTCCGAAAAGGTTCCGTTTATCCCTAAACTTTTCGTCCGCGCCCTGGACCCGGCGATTTCGCCCGAAAATTCTACGGCCGGGAATGCGGAGAAAGGGAATTTTGGGGCTTTCCGTCGCGTCTACGTTCGGAACATTCTTAAATATAAAATTATTTACAACCCCACAATTTTCTTTTTAAGCCAAGAGGTTATTTTTCCTTAAACTTTTCCCGGAAATTCGTCCGTATCGTTTCGTTTAATCTGGAAATATTTCTGCTTCGCCTCCATTTTTTAAAATTAGCATACTCGCGGGCAAGAAATAATTTCGGCCAAATCCTTATTTAACGTTTTCTCGGGAACAAAGCGAAATATTTTTTCTATTTGTAAAACGACGCCAAGACGCTATAAATTTTTACATACTTTACGCGTTTTGATATAAATTGGGGGACGACTAACGCGTAACGACAGTCTAATATTTAAATTACGCGCCGCCAAAACGGAAAGTATGGTATTTATAATAAGTCAGATTTTGTAAGAATGGGTCTCGACGTAGAATTTTAATGCGGTGGGCGTAGGCTTTAACCCGGAAAATATATTGTTAAACTGCTTAATTAATGTAGGCCGAGAAGAAAAATCACCTTAATACGGAACCTCTGCCAATCCCACGATGGGCGTGAAATTCGAGAATTCGAAATCTCCTAGGCTCGTCTTACGTCGTCTCGATAAGAAATAATTGTTTAGCCAAGCACGGTACGAAATAATCATCCAGTAAATTGCCCATCGATATCCAATTTCGTCTCTTTTCGCTTCCGCCACGGCGCGGAGGGGGAAAAGTCCGGAAAGAAAGCTCGTCCCGTGTCATTTTTACCCAAAACTCCGATTTGGTCGGGCGATTTTTCCGCAGGCGAGTACCCCGTGGCCAGTGGCGGTCGAGATTGGCGAGAAATGGTAAAACGCTTAAACCCCACTGCGAATTCTACGGATTTTAAGCAGCGAGAGGAGGGGAGTATAAAACGTTAAAACGAGATTCCGCCGAATTTAATAAAATATTTCCGAAATTTACACAAAACGGTGGAAGATTTCTTTCGGGAAACGGGCGCCCGGGCCCGTCGTCACTAAGGGACGGCATTTTAAACCAATTAGTCGAAAAATTGCCAAATACCCGGAGAGGAAAAAACACTCCCGAGACGGGAATGCGTTTCGGCGGAGGTAACCGGTCACTCTCGTCCTAGTAAATCGCCCGGCCAGTTCCGAAGCGGTTCTCGGAGATTCCGCCTCCCCCGTCCGATGCTCCGCGCTAAATCTTAAGAATGGCCGGAAAATGGAAGAAGAAAGCCTTTTTTTTTTCTTGTATGAAATAAATTGTGTATAAAAGCGCTCGAAATACGAAATATTCGGCCAACAATTTGCCAGACGTAATACGAGCGATCGCTTGTTGTGACGCGGTGACGATAACGGGCCGAAATTTTTAATGGTATTTTAATTAACCTAATCTTTTAATAAAATATAGATTTTGATTTTATCCGCGTTTTGCCCCCGTACATCGCACTTTTCCCGTTAAAAACAGAGTGGCGCGGTCTATCTAACTCCGCTCGGCAGTAAATTTTTCGACGGAAATAACGTTGGTAGATGGTCGATCGAGGTCTCCTCGCCTAGGCTTTCGTCCGCCTAATTCCGTTCTCCGGATTACGGAAGGACAGAATCGCGGACAGACGAACGTCAATAGGAATTTATAGGCGCGCCATTTGAAAATTGCGGCCCAACTAAAAGTTAAGACAACTTAACAATAATAATAACTTAATATCGCTTCCGGAGAGTAAGTGTTAATGGCTCTTTCTTTTCCGGAGGAAGACGTTTCTTCGGCCCACAAATATAATATTTTTTTGAAAACCGAGAAGAATTTCTAAAAATTCCTTTGGCGGCGAATGGTTGGAATCGTATCGGGAAGGCGGGCTCGGGCCTCCTTCGTACGCGTCAGAAAAAAAGGTCGGCTCTTCCCGCCGACGCACAGGGCCCGGGAGAAATCGGTGGGCGGCCGAGTCGACTTTCCCACCCATAAATGTGCGGTTTTCTTCAATCCGCGGCGGTATTTTCATTTCCAAGGCGGAATTTGCCGGCGATATTTGTTTTGCGCCGAGTTGTAAGGAAAAGGAATTCTTTGTCCGGATCGTTCTTTAATTTCATTTTGCCATATTTCCCGAAACGATTTACGGTTAATATCCGATAGGATTTGGCGGTCCTTTACGGCTGCGGAGGCCGTCCCATTATCTTGTCGGTCGAGATTGGATTCTATATCCTCTTTCCCGCCCGACCCGCCTCATTTTTATTCCATTTTATTCGACTCTTCCACCCAATCTCATCTATACGGATACAATACAATATATATAAGAAACACCTTAAGGTAGGAGTTTGATCAAACCGCCAATCGCGTCGGACAAATTTTCTCTACACAATGTTTTAAATCGACATTTATTACTTCCTCTTTCCTATTATATCCGCGCCGTTATTAAATCTCTCTTTCCGCTTTCGCCCCGTCCCAATTTTCGCTTATTTTCCAAAATGTTATTTTAACTATTTTCCCTCCATTTTCGTTTCCCTCGGAAATCGCCTCGCCTTCGGCCCGTACCAAATCGCGTTAACCTCCTTCCTCCGGCGCCCCGTCAGTCCCCCTACCAGAAATCGTCGGGGCGCCGGACCGGGGGGCCCTTTCCTTTAGTTCCGACTCCACCACCGTCTCCTCTGGAAGGAGTAAATCCCTCCCCGCTTCGGTAACTTATCGGGTCCCGTCCGACGGCGCGGCACCGGCTTCCCCAAAAAGAGGACCCCGGGACCCAGCTAAAATGCTTGGAAATTTCCTTCACCCGCGATTTTTGCCGCCAGAATTTATGGCGGAAATTGTTTATTTGGAAGTCGGATTTATATAAGTTAAATGTTCGACGTAACCGACCCGAGATTTTTTAATTTCAGAATCTGAAGCAGCAGGTGATGATCACCAACGTCTGGGTGGAACAGGTGAGCTCGTCCGTAAATCTCCTCCCTCGCTTTCCCTTTCGCTCCTTAACGTAAACGACGTTTGCCCGTCCATCTTTTCGTCGTTTCGTCCGACTTTATCCTTGAATACGTTTCTTACGCGGACGCCTTTAAACTTTATCGATTGGTGGTAATTTAGAAATACGTAAAACGGTCGAGGTGGAGACGGCGGAATTTAAGGTGTTCGACCGCGAGGAAAGAGCGAAGTTAATTAATTACTTGTCCGTCCTTGACTGGTAATCGCGTGTCTCGATAGGTGTGGCAAGACTACAAACTGAGATGGAACCCCTCGGAGTACGGAGGAGTGGAGATGATCCACGTGCCGGCCGAAGACATCTGGCTACCCGACATCGTTCTCTTCAACAAGTAGGTGACCTCTGTCCTTTCTCTCTTCCTTATTCTTTCGGTTAGCGCCGGGCTTCCGTTTTTCCCGTACGCTCCGCCAAAAGCGCCCGTCGGGAAACGACCGTTTTCTCGGAACGCGAAACGGTCCAACCCAACGGGTAGATTCCGTCCCTCCTTTTACCCATTCAAATAAGTTATGGCATAATGACCGGTCGAGTCGACTGAGGAAGAGAATTTCGCCACGGTTAAGATATTCTATATAAGCTTATATATACTAGCGAAGAATGGTGAGCGTTGCCCGGAACTCGGGCAGGGCGTTAACTCGTCTCCGTTATAAGGTAGCGTACGTTTCCCGTAGGATGACAGAGAATAACTATACGAAATTTGGTGCAAATCGGCGAAAACGTTTCGAAATTTACGGGAATGAAATGGGAGGGGAGGAGTGAAGAGTCGAGCTTTAATTAAGATAGCTTTCGTACCGCATTGTACAGTACAGTACTGTACAGTTGGTGGAAACTAAGAAGCTTTCCAACGTCCCTGGACACGGACGAATTTCTTTAGACATCTTATCGTCGATTAGGCTCACTGGCATCCGAAGAGTAACCGAAAGAATTCATTTTACGTAGGTAGATATCTAATAACGTAGAGTCATTCTTATTTTTAAATAACGGTACGATAGGATTAATACTGAGGCAAAGACGCTAAAGGCCTAAGTGCAAAAGTTTAGTTTGATATAAGGACAGTAAATTTGCTCCTTATAGACTAGCTGTATGTATCCGATAACATAAGAGTAGTAAACGACGACCGAGCTGATAAAAACTAAGCGTACACACAGCTACCAGTACCGCTAGAATCAAAACCCAAACCGAAAATATAAGTTTAAAAAAACCCTCCAGATGGCCAAGGGTGACGATGCCAGACAATTGCCTGTTGTCGTTCATTTTCCTTTTTAATATTAAAATAACATACAGCCTACATTCGTCTGGTCCATCTTCCGTACTGTACTGTACGTCGTCTCTGAAGCCAGATCCCGACCTTTCTCTATTCTGGCTAACCGCGGACGGGTTCGACATTCTTCCACCGTAGTCGAAACAATTGAGGAGTGTCGCCGCTTTCTGGCGGCGAGATGCCTCTCTTACGACTCTCGAGAACTTGGCCCCCGAAGGTGCGCCCGATCCGATGGCGGCACGCGTCTAAAGTGGCGGAAAAGCGTGGGAAGCTTTGGACTCGGCGCGACTCGGATACGAAGCTTTAAATAAGAAAATCTTCCGCCGGAAGGAGGAGATTCGTTGTCTTTAAAGCGTCGTTTCCCTTTCGCCTGTGGTCTCGCGCAGGAAATAACCTCTGTCTGTCGTTTTGCAGCGCCGACGGCAACTACGAGGTGACTCTGATGACCAAAGCCAAAGTCTACTACACGGGAGAAATCGTCTGGAAGCCGCCGGCACTTTATAAGAGCACCTGCGAGATCGACGTCGAGTACTTCCCCTTCGACGAACAGTCCTGTCTGATGAAATTCGGCTCCTGGACCTACGACGGACGAGAGGTGAGAGTTTGTCCGGACCCGTCGTCTTTAGTAAGTAACCCGGAGAACGAAACGCTTTACTTACTCCCGCGGGCGGGTCCTATGTATTTCAGGTGGATCTGCGCCACACCAAACAGATCAGCGGTTCTCCCACCGTTCTGATGGGCATCGACATGAGCGAATTCTACAAGAGCGTGGAATGGGACATTCTGCTGGTACCGGCCATCTACCACGAAGGGTACTACGAATGCTGTAACGAGCCCTATCCGGACATCACATTCAACGTCACCATGAGACGAAAGACCCTGTTCTATACCGTCAACCTGATCATTCCCTGCGTGGGAATCTCCTTCCTGACGGTTTTGGTCTTCTTCCTGCCCTCGGACAGCGGCGAAAAGGTCACTCTCTGCATCTCCATTTTGGTGTCGCTGACGGTCTTCTTCCTTCTCTTGGCCGAGATCATCCCCCCCACGTCCCTGGCCGTTCCCCTGTTGGGAAAATATCTACTCTTCACCATGATTCTGGTCACCATCTCCACCGCCGTAACCGTCGGTGTGCTCAACGTCCACTTTCGATCTCCCACCACCCACGAGATGTCGCCCTGGGTCAGGAGGGTGTTCATGCACGTGATGCCTCGATTGTTGCACATGCGCCGGCCCACCGAGACGTCCGAGGACAACGGCGGTCCGGTATCGAGCTCGGAGAGATGCAAGTGCAAGACCGACGTTTACCGATGGGGAAGAGAACCGGCGGTCGAAGTGTACCATTTGGGCTACAAAGGCAACTCCCGAGACCTGGTACACGAACGGGACGCGGGGTGGGAAGAGAAGTACTGCAAGTATTGCCTGAGGGAGATGCAGAGAGCCACCGAAAGCGTCATGTACATCGCCGAATACATTAGAAAAGACGACGAAGCTCAAAGCGTAAGTCCACCCGCTTTTAATTCTCGGTACCGTACCGCGCGGCGTTGTCCTTTTCGGGGGAAGCGTCGGGCCGTTTCTAACGAATCTTTAACCCCAGACGATTATCCTACGCCCGTTTTCCGGGAAAAATCCATGAAAAGTGAGTTTATCTCGCTCTTCCGACGATTTTCTGTCCGCCGGAAAGAGACGACCGCGAGTAACTGACAAACAACGGAAAGAAACGGAAATGCGGAGGCCGAAATTAATCACTTTGGCCGAAAATTCTACCCGAAGTGATTAATTTCGGTCGGGGAATAAAAGTATTTGAATAGTCCGGCGGGTGGGAAGGCGCCGAGAAGACCATCCACCGATTTCCTCTCTTTTTCTTTGTTTAGGTGATCGAGGACTGGAAGTACATCGCCATGGTGTTGGACAGATTGTTCCTGTGGATATTCACCCTGGCCTGCATCGTGGGCACCTTCGGCATCGTGTTGCAGGCTCCTTCGCTCTACGACGACAGGATGCCCATCAACGTCTGAGCGCCCGTCCGCGCGCTCCGAGCCGGACGATTCGTGCCAAACTTATTCGCGGAAGAAAGTAGCCGAGGCGGGAGGCGGGGAGGAAGGCCCGACCGAGGCCAATAATTCCCCCCTCCTTTAGAACCCGTCTACGCGGGTCGCCCGTCAGTGGGCCGGGCCCGGGAGGGCGGCGCCTGAAAGTCGGAGTAGTCGGTAGGAAAACCGGAGGAAGAATTCTTCTTCGGATGGGGTAAACCCGCAGTTATTCCGGCCAAATTCCCTTATTTATTAGAGGAATGCGTGGGAAACGGCCGACGCTTCCGAAAGCCGAAGGATGGTGGGAGTCCCGACCGGGCCAAAGGGGCGAATCGACTTTTTCCGGTAGAAATTAAGAAAATTTTCTCCGGGGTGGGAGGAAAGACGGGGCGTCGATTAGAAAATAACCGGATAAATACCCACGTTGGATTTTAAGAGGGCGCTTCCCGGGCCGACGACCGAATCCCGGCGAAGAGATTTAGGTAAAGCCCGGTACTGGCGTGCGGAAGCCAACGACGTAAACCGTCGACGTAACTTTTGCCGCAAAAGTCACGTCATAATACGAAATGGAAAATTTTGGTCTTTGGGCGTGGCGGAAGGCGGAAGGCGGAAGGGTAAAAATTAGACCGATAAAGCCGTTTAGCCAGGCGAAGCTAAAAGTTTTATTTAAACTGTAGGACGTTAATATATTTCGTTTATCCGCTCCATCACTACTCGATTTAAATATTAATTCAAATAGACGTAAAGTATCGGATATTCTCGACTCGCGGCCATTTGGAAATTTCTTACTGGCGATAAGACGATAAGTCAACTCTGAAAGTTTAACGGATGCCAAGAAGCCATTTTCCAATATCGGCGCATTTGGACGGTAGGACACATTCCACCCGCCAGTACCGGGCTTAAAGAATAGGATCCGGTCGAAGGGAAGGGGCGAAGACGGAAGCGTCGGTCGTTGCCGTTTGGTCCCGGGCCTTTCGTTTATAAGGGAAGGAAGCTTCTACCGTCCCGACTTCGGGCCTTCCGAGACTAAAACTCGTCTTCGACGAGCCGAACCTCCTTCCCTCGGCCAAAAACGGGCGCCTTCCGCTCTCTACCTCCGACTTTCGAACGGGGTAGAGGCGTCGGCCCGACCAAGTGCCAATAGACATCTCCCGCCAAACTAGCCATCTTCGGACCGGCGGTGGAGAAAAGGGAGGAAAGCGGCCGCGTCCTACATTTTAAAAGGCGGAGTAATTAGAAAGGGGTTTGTTAAGAGGGGGAGGGATTATCTGCGGAAATAAACTCTTTGTCTTCCTGGGTAAAAACTATTCTTTGCAAATAAAGAGGAGAGAGAGAAAAGCCCGGCAGAGGCCGGTCTTTTCTCCTTCCCGAAATGAAAAAAATGTCTAAAGGTATCCGGGCCAAAGGATTGCCAAGCGTCTTTCCCGGATGACGGCGGTGACGGGTGGAGAACTAAACGGGCGCTTCTTTCGGAGGTGCGAAGAAAACAGAAAGCTCGGACCGGGAAAGAGGGAAAGAAAAAGGGCGGAACGACTGACGCCAAACGTACGGGACGTTAGGATTTTCCGGTAAGATTCTCCACCAGTTTCGAATAACTCCGTTAGAAATCCGGATTATTTCTAACGGAAGGGAAAAAGGGCGGATCCGTTTGGCTACTTCCCGTTTTCCGGGGATTTCGAGCAAAGTTTACGAAGAATCCAGCAGACGTTTCGCGGCCATTCTCTTCTCCGGTGGGATAAAAACCGGGAGGTCACCCGTCTATTTCCATTTTACCGTTACGTACGAACACCGATTTTCCGGAGAAAGCTTCCGTTTCTTCTATATTCTACCGGCGGCGACTGGAAACGAGGAATGAGAAATGAAAGGAGTTACGAAAGAGAAAGAAAAAGTCCGACTAAGTCGTTAGGCGAAAGTCGGGACTTTCACTCGACCAACAAGTACACCTAAAGCATCGGTCTTTAGGCACGTTCGACGCCTAAAGACCAATACGCACCGATTTGGGAAACGGAGACGGAGGCAAAAGTACGACTAAAATTGCGAATTTTGAAGGCGGGTCCACTCTTCTCTTAGCAAACGACTATTTAAAGCTCCGTTTACCAGTGAGAATTGCCTTGGTATTCGGACTTTTCCTCCGACGAAAATTCCCGGGGCCAATTATTACCTAGCCTGTATCCGCCGGCCCGGACGGTTAATTTCTTAAGCCGTTTTCTTTTCTTCTCCAAATAACTTTATTCGTTTATTACAATTTCAATGCGAAAAAATTTAATAAATTAAACGGCGGGAGCGGGAGCCAGAAAATGGCCGAATAATCCGCGGAGGAATCCGAGTCTCTGTGGCCGCCATCGGTCGACCCCAGGTATGGCGACTTGACTGTTACCGGCTAACGTTATTTATTTTTGCGGGTTATACGGAATTAGTCTTACTTACTATTTTCGGAGGGAAAACGCAGATATTTCGCCCACATAAACAAAAAGTATAACAACTATCGTTTATTATTAAATAAATAAAAGAAAACAATCGCACGCAATACCTACGTAATATCCAACCCACCCACGACGCGCTGCGGTTATTTCGCAGGGGCGACTACGGTTTTATAACGAATTTCAAACTGGCGATAAAGTGTGGCCAACTCCTTTATTAAGGCGGCCGTTGGATTAACCACTCTCCGGTTGCCGGTACCCCGGGCGGGCCGTTGGCGAAAACCGAAAAAAATGCCGGTTTAATTTAAACCGGGGCTGCGGAGTGGCGTAGAAATCTACCGACTCCGACTAGGGACGGACTCGTTACCAAAATAAGCCCGGGAATTCCCATGTCATCGAGCCACCTCGGACTAAAAGGTAATTCTAATAGTTTTTATTCTAAAGTTAAAACATTCCTCTAAGTAGACACGCGGTTAACGTATAAATATGTATTCGATAATTTTTAGTTTTCCGACTGTTATATATAACGGAGGAAAAGCGTATCTATCGGTCAAAAAACCACCCCTTTTAAATTTTTACACTTTCGGGCCGGGGACAACCCGAAATGTCGGATAGGCAAAAGATTGGGTTTTTTCTGTACGCGTGGGTTTTAGTCCAAGTCTGTTCGAAGCCTAATCACATTTGTGGTTTTTAAATCCTAGTCGGATGGTTTAACACGGGAGTTATTAAGCTTCGAAGTGGTTGAACTAAATCGTGTCCTCATACACATTCTAACATCTCGGGCGAGAACATCTTAACGGATTCTACTGTACTATTATAAAATGACAGAAAACTTAATTTTTAGGGTATAGAGACGAGTTTTATAACAAAAGAAAAAAAAACAAATGTGAACGCTAATAACGAGTAAAATATTCACGAAGTCCTACCGCACTGGAGATGTGACGCGACTCCTTCTACGTCTCCATCTCGTCTATCTTTAATTAAGAACCAAAATTTAATAGCATTAATGTCCCTTTATACGCGAGATACTGCGCCAAATTTCGTTTCTTAAACTTTACCCGGAGAATAAAGAAATTACATGCCAGCGCGAGTACACGAAGTTTCCCTTTTATTTGGCATTTTTCGGATTCGAAACATGTAGATTTGCAAAAAACTCGGAGAGTCAAATTTGACACGATTTCGATACTTTTCGGTTTTATATATAACATATACGTAACAAGTTGGGAAGTAAAACGGAGTCGGAGTCGGCGAATTTTTGATCGCTCCGAGTAAAACACCAAAACTGCGCCAGTCCGAAACGGCCGTAGTCCGATGACGTAGACTTAGGACCGACTTAATGAATGACCGAGCGCCACGTTATATTTATGAATCGCGTTTTTGAACACTTTGTAGATGTCAGTATCTTTAAGAAGGACGCGAAGATCGCGTGGCCAATTAATACCCGGTCGTGGCACGGCCCATGCCCCGGATACCGTCCGGGAATGCCGTTTTCGTTATCGAAAAACCCCCGCCACTCCCCACCCTACCGACAATTTTCCGAGTCGTCCGGCTTCAGTTTGGGCCGGCGGCGCGTTTATCCACTCCGTATTTGTGGCTAAAACTCTGGATTTCATCCGGCCATCCGGAGTTCTCGGCCTTGGCAATTTCTCGGGAAAGCGTATTCTAGCTCCCATCACCATCCCGCGGATTGAAGAAACAACGCCGCGAAAACAGAAAGCCGTACTTTTTATAGGCCGTCGACGGGGAACGGGTCGAGAGGAGTCGCTCTCTTCTCCACCCCGCCCGAGCCTGCGCTAAAGTCGACGAATGTCGATTATGTTTCGTTTCCGATGGACGGTCCTTTCTCCTTTGCGAAACGCTCCACCCTTTCCGTACAATGGCGCCACAGCTTTCCCCTCTTCTTGTCAAATTCCTAGTAATCGATGGAGCTACGTCGAATTAACTCTCGTATTACGGTCGTACTTGCCAACCTTTTAGGCCGAGTTATAAACTCCTTACCGCCACCGAATCCGTAAGAAAAGCTGGCGCGCATCAAACTTTAACGTTACGGAAACGGAGTCGCGGACTACACGCGCGCCGAGTAGCCTTTCGATGGGAAATCAAAAGCCGGAAGTAGCTAAAGAGACCGGGACAGATCGGGAAGGGGACGACGAGAATACGCGACTACGATGGTTTATCGGAAATTACTGCCGGAGCTTTATATTATTAATAAAGAGCCGAAAGATGGGCAGCGTGGACGAAGGCGAGTGCGTCCGTCGATATAAACAGAACGATATAAAATTTAACCTAAGAGTTACTTCGATGGTAAAGAAAACGAGTGAACAAATCCTTATAGCGTTGATCTAGCTGCGATATTTTCTCCCGTTTACGCGGATAGTGCGCGCGGGTACGGCTGTCTGTCTCCTACACCGTAAATAAATTTGGTTCCCTACGGATACGGATCGGGCCTTACGGTATTTTATAACTACCGCCGCCAGTATCTGCGTTGCCGACACTTACTGACACCCATACGGTACGAAGTTTATAACGCAATGCTTAAAATATAGAATAGCCGCGCCCGCGTGGGTAGAAAAAGCCAAAAAATTCTCTATTAACATCGATATCGCGCGACGCTGGTATTAAATACTTTTAATAAGCAAAATTGAATGTCGTCTTCCCCTTCGATATCTTATAAAGCTATTGTCGTAAACACCGTGGCCAGAGTATGGCGATAGCTTTAAGCTCTTTAACATCACAATTTAAGAAAGGTCAAATATTTTACCAGACATATCGTAAATCTCGGTGTGGATTTATCGCGGGTCCGGTCAATCTCGACGTCGAGCGACGAATGTTACGCGCCTTTGCGCCACGTTTTGCTCGGTTAATAATTTCTTCCGTTACGGTACAACGTATTCGACGCAGTGGCTATCGGTCAGTTCGTTGACTTTCCCCGCAAAGATGATTTTTCTCGTAATTTATTTCCTATCTTTTATCCCATCTGCCATTTAAAATTATCGCGTCCGAGCTAAAATTCTTATAGAGGAGAAGATGGTATTATGGAACTCCAATTACCTTTTAGTGAATTGTAAACAAGGTATCGTAACTACACCCACATTTTTTGTGCGAAAAGTACCGGTAACTAGTAAACTAAATGTTCCTAATTGGATTTTTCGCTGGTGTAATTATAAGTATGGTTTTTGAAGGCTTTTGTACAAAAAGTCCGAAAGTAGGCTTAGAGAAAATCGGGTGGTAATATGGAACATTACCGTATATTTTCAAAAAAATGCTTTAATGTAGCCAAAAACAAATAGGAAAGGACAAAGAATGTTAAATAATTACCAAATTATTTACTCCAATGTATTTTATCGCAAAAATGCTTTTATAACAGAACAATATGACCGCCATCAACAATATATATTCCGGCAGCTCTTTTTCGATATCGTCGGGAAGAATTGACTTTCTACCTAGTGTCTTTTTCCCAAATTGCTCCGGGCGAATGTCTGATTGCAAATCGAAAGTTCGGAGGAGTCGAGTTCCGTATTACCGTAAAAGCACCAATGGGGTCCGTATTTCACCCATCGCCATCTCGAATTAACTTATGTCTGTCGAGACCAAAATTTAAAAAACGTGAACATCACATAGATTAATATGTATCCCTAAGTCTCTGGAACGAAATACGTGCACCAGTGAACCTACAACTACGCGATTTATATTTTAAAAATAATTAAATTCACTTAGCATTCAAAACTTGCGAATTTTGAAAAAAACAAATTTGCTGATTAAATGCGGACAACCGTTTAACCGAAGTAAAACGGGTTTTCCTCTCGCTATGGATGTCTGCCTAGTTCAGTTCAGCCACATTCCGCTACAGTTCGCCTTTATTATCAGTTCGAAATGTGGTGGTTCCATAATACCTGCAGTGTTCCATAATACCACCTTCTCCTCTACGTACGTAAAAATATTCATCTCGGTTCTTTCCCAATCCGAGAACGTCGTTCCGGTTGGCTTCGGTCGTTCGTAACAAAATCCGCGCCGTGTGAAGATTTAAGAGATAACATCGAATTCCTTAAAAACGCCGACAAAAGGGGAAAATCTGTTCACCGCGTCCACCGACGGAGCGTACGGAATCCGATCGCGACCGGCCGGAGTTTGATCATTTGGGATTTAGGGTTCTCCGTCCTCGCCGCGTACCAAATCTTTTGTAGAAGAACCCTCTGGAAAAGATATGCACTCGCTCCGAAGACAATGTGGCCGTTAGCTCTCAAGTTTAGCTCTTCTGGGTCAGAGTCGCTTAAATGGTTCGATACGGTTTGCCAGGGTTGGTAAACGGAAACATGGGAGAGATTGCGTCTGGTTTAATGTCGGTGAGTACAATGAGTACAAAAACGAATACAATGAATAAAGTAAGTAAATACAAAAGAGAAATCGGGCTCTAAACCGAACTCGAAAACCCCAACTTTTTCCACTCGACGGGATTACGAAATCGGCACCCTCCGAATGTTCTTAATTAATTTCTCTTTCTATCCGCCCGTCTCCAATATTAATCGGTAATTACGCGCTTTACTTTATTTACGACAATGCGGCCGTTAGCCTTTTTCCAGTGTCTAAAACAAAATACAAATACACCGTAACAAACATACCGAAAGAACAATTAACGTACAAAACTAAGCGTACCGAACTATTAAAAGTCCCCTTAAACACGCCACCGGGCCGGAGGGCGGCAAAAGTTTTCTTTCGGTTCTTCCCTAAAGGCGACGAAAGAACGTATTAAAGGTTACGATTTTGTCAACGTCTTACCACTGTCAGTAATTTGTTGGATGGATGCCAGCCGCCGAGGAAATAAACGGGAGGAGGACAAAACTTCTGTACGTCTTTATTCGACCAAGAGCTACGGATACACCGGACGTTAAAAAAGTAACGAGAATTCAAAGGGTCGTAGGTAACGAGAGAAAATAAACGGTGTCGTCGTACATCGTATCCCGTCTTTCGGGCCATAAACTTTTGGCAGGCGACAGCCACGTATACCTAACGACCACGACTTAAAAAGACAATAAGGAAAAAATCCAGCAAAAAGTCGCTTAGCGACATTCGGTGTCTCCATCCGTTACGATATTTTATTTTAAAAACTTTTATATTCTTAACTATTATAAAATGGAAAAAAGCCTAATAATCCATTCTAACCCAGTTCTTA